TATCCACCCAACTGTGAAAAAAATCACCTGACAAAGAGCTATGTTGCCAAAATATTTAGGAAACATTTTACTAAAATGTACTTAATAACCAAACTAATGCATGCAGTTTTGGAATTTTAGGATTATAATTGTGGTTTCTGTTGTGATTAGTGTGGGGAGTATTTTTTTTTTCCCCTCATAAGGAATCACATTGTAATTGTGGAGTTTGCCTGCTAACAAAAAGGAAGTGTTGCATTTTTGGAATGGGTGTTAAGTTTTCCAATTTTATGACTTGATTAGTATTTAGAAATACATTCTTTTATTTACAAGTTAGAAACATCTGCACGAATGAAACATATTTTGAAGATGCAATTTTAAAAACTAAAAATATAAAACAATTTTGTCATTCTATGCTTATCATTAATATGGCAATTTTCGATAAATCATTGCAACAGTGGTCCCTCCCAGTCCACACGACAATCTAAGAAGCTTAGTGTAGTTGTATAACTCTCACATGTCTGCCAGACTAAGTGAAAATTGGCATTTTTTTTTAAATCCTAGATTCAATTTTAGGCTCTTGTCATTTACGTAATTTTTCTTGCAACAGTCTGTCAGCATGTATGCAAGTTTTAAGCGATCCACAGATATTGTTGATTTATGGCCACTTATATCACCAGTAAAAGATTTCTCAGTCCTAGTTAATACTTTGAATGGTCCCTAGTATGGTTGGTCTAAATTTTTTTGCACAGTATCTCATCTAAGGAAGATGTACAAACTTGTAAGTAAATCATCATGAACGAATACATTTCTCCAAGAGTGCCGAGAAGCTGGAACTGGTTGAATAACTTGCATCTGTTGATGAAGAATGTCACAATGTCTTTTATAGAAACCACATCTGAAGAACAGCAAAGAAATTTTCTTTGAAGTTTCAAGCGCATGTTTGTAGCACTGTTTTTGCAACTGTAGAAGATTCAAAGGTTGATCTTTACAATATAGTAACTGGTAGTTTGGCGACATTTTGGAGGCGATAAAGGTTACTACCTGGGACTTTGGTAATAATGTGAGCAGTACTCAGTTCCCATTACGCATTATTTTATGTGAGGGAAATGAAAGATCATGGGAGATGTCACGTGATATTAATGGACGAATTACGGTTCTTGAATCGGAAAAGGGGGGAAATCGGGAAAAAATCTGGAAATTTTGAATTTGGTTTATTCTGTGTTGTGTGAAACAGTGTTCGTGAATTTTTGGGATCCCATGGCCGTAACTAAAGAAAAGTTTCGGACACGTAATCAAGATTCTGAAGAAGATTAGGTAAGTTAGTATTTTAATTATTTGAGGATATTATTTTTGCATTGTTCTAAATGTAAGGTGGAAAGGAATTTTGTATTATGGGAAAATGTTATTAGCAATGATTAGTTTAAAGTAATTAGGATTGTAAGGTAATTTTATTAATTTAATGTATGTGCTCATTTATATTTTAAGTAGTGTTTTTGAATTATTATATTTTAATGAAATGATAGTTATTTTGTGAATTTTATGTTTGTAGGAATTTGCTATACGCTTAAGTTGAAATAAACGTGCATGAAATAATTTAAATATTTGATATTAAGTATTTGTAATGCTTGCGGTATGAATTCGTTGGTGACGTGATAATGTAATAGATGATTTAGAGGTAAAAGTTTTGGATATTTTATTTATTTTATATGTGGAAATGTTCATATTTGTAAAGGGTAAATACTTTTTCGCGAGCAGGTAATTTCATATATGTTCTTTTTACCGGGTTTAAAGATTGAGAAAATTGTCATGTATTTTTATGAAATTTTTCTAGTTTATGAGAAAAAAGCAGTGTACATGGATATAGTGAAGAGTGTGCGCAATGCCATTTTTGTGCAATTCTGGGATTTTTTTTTAAGTAAAAATAAGTCGATGTGTACATGGTTTAGTGATATTTTAATTAAATGATAGTTATTTTGTGAATTTTATGTTGTAGGAATTTGGTACACGCTTAAGTTGAAGTAAAGTGCATGGAAATAATTTTAAATTTGATACTAAGTATTTGTAATGCTTGGTAGGAATTCGTTGGTGACGTGTAAATGTAATAGATGATTTAGAGGTAAAAGTTTTTGGATATTTTATTTATTTTATATGTGGAAATGTTCATATTTGTAAAAGGTAAATTCTTTTTCGCGATCAGGTAATTTCATATATGTTCTTTTTACCGGGTTTAAAGATTGAGAAAATTGTCATGTATTTTCGTGAAATTTTTTCTAATTTATGAGAAAAAGCAGCGTACATGGATATAGTGAAGAGTGTGCGCGCAATGCATTTTTGTGCAATTCTGGGATGTTTTTTAAGTAAAAATAAGTCGCCATGTACATGGTTTATGTGTATGTGTATTTGAAAAGCGTAAGGAGTATGGTATGTGCACTTTTTCCCAAATTTGCAGTGAATATTTGTCATGATTAAGCAGTTTTGTTTGATAAAATTTCTAGCATAAGTGTAATTCGGCTACTAGATTGTTGGAAGAAGTGTTCAGTAGATAAAAAGAAAAGAAACATGTCTTTACTTCGTGAAGACAAAATGGCGGCGGGGAAAAAAAATAGAGGGTTGCTGTAGGAGAGTTGGTCGCCAAATTTTCGCCAAAAAAAGCCAAGTTATCATAATGTAAAGATCAACCGATTCAAAATCAAATATCTTTTTGTCGAAAGAGGATATGAAAACTTCAGAAATTGTTCAACGTCTACGAGGGGTATTCTGTTCCAAAATCTTAAAAGTCCTTTATGGGGTGTTTGATTTGATAGTTTAACAATGCCATAAATAGCTGGGTTGAAGAGACATCAAAAAAGTTATTTTGAAGGACAGATTTAAAAGTCAGGCTGATCTTTGGAATATGGTAACTGGTAGTTTGGCGACATTTTGGAGGCGATAAAGGTTCTACCTAGGACTTGGTAATATGTGAGAAGTACTCAGTTCCGATTACACATTATTTTGTGTGAGGGAAATGAGAGATCATGAGAATGTCATGTGACATTAATGGACGAATTACGTTCTTTAATCGGGAAAAGGGGGGAAATTGGAAATTTTGTATTTAGCTTTATCTTGTGTGTGTGAACAGTGTTGGTTAATTTTTGGATCCCATGGCCCTAATTAAAGGCAATTTGAAATGGGTATTTAGTGAGATGAAAGGGTAGTAATAATGTTTTTTTAAGGTTGTGCGAAATAGAAGTAAAGATGTTTTATTAAGTTATTTATTTTACCTGGTACCTTGCGTGAACTATAAGTATGATTTTAAGATCTGAAACAGTGAACACGCTTGCTTTTTATTTAGCAGAGAAAAATGAAAAGTTTCGGCCACTAATCAAGATTTGAAGAAGTAGGTAAGTTTACTTTAATTATTTGAGGATATTATTTTATGCATTGTTCTAAATGTAAGGAGTAAGTAAAGTAATATGGTTTTATTGGAAAATTGTTATTAGCAATGATTAGTTTAAAGTAATTAGGATTTAAGCTAATTTTTATTAATTTAATGTATGTGCTTATTTATATTTTAAGTAGTGTTTTTTGAATTTAATTATATTTTAATTTAATGATAGTTATTTTGTGAATTTATGTTTGTAGGAGTTTGGTATACGTTTCAATGAAGTAAACGTGCATGGAAATAATTTTAAATATTTGACACTAAGTATCTGTAACCATTTAATGTTTGAGGTATGAATTCGTTGGTGACGTTTATAATATAATAGATAATTTAGAGGTAAAAAAAGTTTTTTTTGGATATTTATTATTTTATACGTGGAAATGTTCATCTTGGAAAGGGTATATACTTTTTCGCGATCAGGTAATCATATATGTTCTTTTTACCGATTTAAAGATTCACAAAATTTCATGCATTTTCGTGAAATTTTTCTAATTTATGAGAAAAACAGTGTACATGGATATAGTGAAGAGTGTGCGCAATGCCATTTTTGTGCAATTCTGGGATTTTTTTTAAGTAAAAGTAAGTCGACGTGTAATGGTTTATGTGTATGTGCTATTCTGAAAAAACGTGCAAGCCAGTTTGCGATTGTGCACTTTTTCCCAATTTTGCAGTAATATTTGTCATGATTAAACAGTTTTGTTAAATAAAATTTCTAGCATAAGTGTAATTCGGTAGTAGTAGGGGGTAGATTGTTGGAAAAAGTGTTCAGTAAATAAAAGAAAAGAAACATGTCTTTACTTGGTGAAGACAAAATGACGGGGGAAAAAGAAAATAGAGGGTTGCTGTTGCAGAGTTAGTCGCAAAATTTTCGCCAAAAAATCGCCAAGTTACCATAATCCAAAGATCAACCAAAAGGCAGTTTTTTGTTGTGATAAGTCTATTCAATTAAAGGGGGATTATGTTCAAAAACTGCATTAAAATACTGATGAAAATCAACGAAATTTAACAAAAAAAAAAAAACCTTAGAACTTTAGAAACATTTCTCGTATAAATAAACTTCACTTTACAAACATAATACGTTTCGAATCAACAGTACTTGTACATCATCAAATCAAACGTACAATAAAGATTTACAAGCGATATAAATACAAGAAATTTATATATCTAAGTTCATGCATACCAAATAAGAGCAATTCCACACCCCAAAAACAAAACTGAGTTAAAAAATCCCACAGAATTGGTCTTGTAAAAATCAATTTAGAAATCAAAGGATATAAATAAAAAAATTATCAAAATAGGAGTGAAAGTTCAAAGTTCCTTCAATTCACTCTGGATAATAAACGATCACAAAACCATAAATTGAAGATTACTGATCAGCATTTCCCTCTCGAAATTAATTTTACATTCAATATTAGAAACTGATAATTTAATAATTTCACTGTAAATTAAATGTAAAATTTCATCAATACAGATTTCTAATTAGAGCCTACTGAATAGCGTAACCTATTATCTTAACTACATTTATGCCTGCGTTAAGTATGCATATGAATGATGCATTCATTACCATATATAATTCATACAGCATGACTTTTAATCTTACCAAGAATTGTTTTTGCAAAACACCGTTCGCCAGTTTTGAAAGCAGTATTCAAAGAAAATTTCAACAGATGCTGACATGAAACCACTTTGGCTAAGAAAGACATTACAGTATTTAAAGTTACATTATCAACACTCATAAAACAAAAATAATTATTTAACTACGGAAATAGATAATTTTGAGTTGAGTTGTATACCTGCTGACTTGAGCAAAAACAGAAGTTGTTACCTGTTTTTGGTGAATGTGTATGTGGTAACACGTTTACAGTATTATGTTATCCTAAAATTAGGAAGATCAGCAACTTTCTGAAAACTCTCTATTTCGAGTGAGAACAGGTACAGATTCCTCTTCGACAGTAGCAAAAAAAATTCTACTTTTTAATGTAATTTTTAAGTATTAAAATATAACTTCAATATTTAAAAAACTTCTAAACCCAACGACTTCATATAACAGGTAGACGGCTCACCCACAGAGAATTCGTCTGCTAGGGTGTCTCCAACATACACCACGTGACTAATGCTGCTGGCGCTCTTGGGGAGTGATAGCTTAGGCTGTTCATCGCCAGTTTGGCCCGCTTTTGATATGGCAGGTAGTACTTTTTATTTCCGTCTGCTAGCAGTCAGCAGACAACGGCCTCGAATTAGGTTGTTCGATTTTTTACAAGTATATTTAGATATAACTTAATCCCTTTTTCCTGAATATTTTATCTATATTTTAATAATTGCTTTAAATTATTTGCACCATTGTTTTAAGATGTTTATGTTAAATATTTTAGGAAGAAAATCTAAAATAAAATAATAAAAATTGAGATGGAAACTTTAATTTTGAATAACGTAAAAATTAATTGCACTACTGTTATAATATTGAGAAGGTAAAAAAAATCTCGTTTAATTTTAATGCATTGCATCCTAAAGAGAAAAAAGAAAATCACATTGTATTATATGTATTTATGCCATTGATTGCCTTTCTTTTCTTGAGATTATATAACTGGAACAAAATAATGCAATCTTAATTACTGATTTCCACACTCATGTGTATGTCATGGGGGGGGATCAATACATCTTATTAACTATAAAAAAATTATTTTATATTGAAATGTATCAAACGGTAACAAACTTCAACTCAGTATTTATTATTAGGATCAAAACGATATTACAGTTAAAAATTCTCTCTCTCTCTCCTTTTTTTTTAAATACTATTTAAAATATGGTAAGTTTTAAAATATCGCATTTTTTCAATTACAATAAATTTCTAACAGCATCGTAGATGAGACAGAATTATAATCCAGATTATTTTTATTTTAATTGATTTTATAGAAAATAAATGATAAAGCATTGAGCTTTATAAAAATCAGATTACTTTTATAAAGCTCAATGCTTTATCATTATTTTCTAATGATAAAGCATTGAGCTTTATAAAAGTAATCTGATTTTTAAAATAATGCTGTTTAACTGTTTAACTTATGTTCAATGTTGCATGAATCAAGACGCTTTTTTTTTTTTTTAACAAAGTAAACATATCGCACAATCTTTTCTCAATAATTTAATGCTAATAATAGCGTTTTTCTCTTTTTTATCGCAGGCAGTAATTGTTTCTGAAATCAAAACGCTTACGACTTGGCGAAAAAAGGTTAACGCCAATTGGCGCAGCTTTCTATTTCAACGGAATACACGGAAAAAACATATAAAATTCAATTATTTGTAAAGGGTGATTCCAGTAAATAGTGTCACAGTATTTAATACATTTTGATGCTAATAATACATGCTGAAAATGTCATATACAGCGGCAATTTTCTTATAGAATACAATATGGCTGAAACTTTCCAACCAATTCAACAGAGATAGTAAAATGACAAAAATACTGAAAATAAAATAATAAATCATGCAGTTTTAACTTACCTATGAAAGGTTACAAGTCCTCCTTTCACGAAACTTTCTTTACATCCGTAGGCGCTGCAGCGAATAACCATTTTTACTTAAATTTTATGTGACCAAGCAGAGCAGCAGTCTTTCGTCCCATAGAAAGCAATGTAAAGTATTTCCGGACTTTCGGAATTCGCGCAGCAGTCACGTGACACTAATGTTGGAACCGGTTGAAGGTTGCAATACGCTCTCTACCAGTATCTTATCTCGTTGTCTAAACCTTTAACTCCTCAAATCAATGCCCCTCTCTATTTGACATTTCCCGCAAATTCAAGAAACCTTTATAAAACTATCCCACCTATCCATGGACCTAGTGAAATTTCATATACAAAAGAAGATAAAGTTAAATCTTTTGCGGACTATATGGAAGATACATTCAATCTTAATCCCACTCCGTACGACAATAACCATATTCAACGGGACAGCCTGGTGGTCAATAACTTCCTTAATACCCCTGCTCCGTACAACTTTAGTTTCCTGACTACCCCAACAATCGTTGCCAACACCATCAGCTCTTTACAAACGTAGAAAGATGGCATCTCGACCAAAGCAATGAAACATCTTCCGATCAACGCTGTTATCTGCCTAACTAAGATAATCAACAAAATTATCAAATTCGCTCATTTTCCTAACTCATGGAAACAAGCTATAATAATTGTTTTTGCTAAACCGAAACAAAATCCAACCTTCCCACCGAACTATTGCCCTATCAGTTTACTTAGCCATCTGTCTAAAGTTACTGAGAAAATTCTACTTTTCCACATCCAAAAAATTCACCCTTCTATGAATTTTCTCCCAGATGAACAATTCGGTTGCCGTAATCATCATAGCACTTGCCACCAACTTCTTAGAGTTATCAACATTATCACTGAAGGCTACAACTGCAAGCTTCCGACCGGTGCCATATTCCTCGATATCGCGAAAGCTTTTGACAGGGTATGGCATCAGAGCCTTATTTACAAACTAATCACTCTCAATTTTCCAGATCATGTTATTCGCTTAATAGCCTCTTTTCTCAGCAACAGAACATTCAGAATCAAAATCGGTACTGCTTATTCTACCACCAGAGTAACCAAAGCTGGTGTCCCACAGGAGTAGGCACTTTCGCCGTACCTTTTTAATATTTATACACAAGACATCTCTGAAGACCCTTCTGTTCATCTTGTACTCTTTGCCGATGACACCACCATACTTACTAAAGCCTGCACAGTTATCGCCGTAAGAAACCAACTCCAAAACTATCTCATAAAACTGGAAAAATGGCTCACCCTTTGGAGGATTAAAATTAACACTGATAAAACCAAGGCAATAATTTTCCGTAAGGGAAACATGAAATACTATCACCCTCTGAAATATTTGACGAAGAAATAGACTGGATTAATGAAACCAAATACCTTGCAGTCGCCCTTGATCATAAACTTACCTTCAGAATCCACTTCCGCTCCGTAGTACAAAAATTTATAATCACCACTGCTACTATGCGACCTCTTCTTGGTAGAAAAAGCAACTTATCTACTACAAACAAATTAATTTTATATCGCTCCATACTTCGTCCAGCCCTACTTTATGCAGCTCCGATCTGGGGACATACAACTAAAACCAATATTAAATAATTACAAATTCTGCAAAATAAAATTCTACGAGAAATTATCAATGCTCCTTGGTATATTCCAAACCTCTACATTCACAGAAACTTTCAAATCGAGCTTATTCAAGAGTATATTAAACGATTAGCGGTCAACTTCTTTTATTCAGTACAAACCCACAGTAATAGCCTTATTAGCACTCTCAGACACTCCCCACATCCCAGTGAAAAACATGTGACATCTTACCCACATAAGAATTACAACCTTAATTGACTCATTCACGATTAACTGACTCTGCGGTTTGCCACCCGCGGCTGCATCTTATAACAACACTGAACTTACCCCCTTCTTCGCCGCCGCTCTCTTTTTCCGCCTCCCACACTACTCTTTCTCCTCCTCCCTGATTCTTATCAGAAGTCGAGTAAAAAAGATGTTTCTACATCTTGACACTCGAGAATAAAATCTGTGTATCAATGCCCCTGTTGAGAAAGCTTTCAAATTCAGTAAAATTTTAGAAATACAGAAAGATACAATCCACCACCTAATTATTCATTAATTTTAATAAAGGAAGGTCTTACTTGAAATTCATTTTGATCCAAAAATTATTCTTTCCAAAGTTGATAAAAACCGACAGATTATGTTATGGACAAATGCACACATAATTGATGGAATCACGAAACTGATAATTGAAATCTCATACTGTTTGATCCTAAAAGTTCCTTAAACTTCTAATCTCATGAATGTTCAAACAGCTGTTAAATCTCATATACTCCCAAAAAAATCGCTCATTCCATTTACTTCAATCTGTGCTTGGTTCCATGCTGTCCCGAAAGTTCACAAAATTTTTTAAAGTTTTTAACCTAGGATTAACATAATATTCTTTAGTCAAATAATTAGTTTCTGTATTTGTCTTGCCATTTTTACAATAATTTAACAATGTTTTACTTTTTTGAAAAATACTTTTTTGAAAAATACTTTTTTAAAAAATACTTTTTTGAAGACGTGGATAAAGCTATTTCTCCCCATAGCTTAGTTAACGTATTTCTTATGGGGGGGTTGAAATGATGAATCACTGTTTACTAACACTCTGGTCGAGAAACCACTAAATAATCTTGAAATTAGACTTTCTGTTTCACACATACTGAAATTGAGGAGTTTGTTACATCTGGGCTCTGGATTCTGCTATCTAGTGAACTTTGGGAATCATTCATTAGAAAAGAAAATAGAACTCGTAGGAGAAATTTTGTAGGAGAAGAATAGAAGTAGAACTGCTCTGGTAAAACAGAATCAGAACTAGAACTGCTTTGGGAAGAAACATGCGTGTTTAATTTTCATGAGATCTAAATAAAACATAAATGTGCATATCTATAATATAATTAGCTTTTATAGTTAACAGAAACGTCAATGTTCTACATTTGCTGAGGATCAGAAATGAACTACACTCACCGTTCGGTAATAGAAAAGATAAAATATATTTCTTTTCCCTTTATGATCATGAAATTTAGAACATTAAGTCTATGATGACACCACACAGTTAATTTCTCGCAATAACTTTTTCTTTGAGACAAGTCTCTTTTGTTTTAAAAATTAAATATTATTGCCAAACTGCTGGATTGTCTCTGGGTAATCACTTCAGTCCTGACGATCAGGCGACAT